AATATATATATATATATATATATATATATACACACACACTGTAAATATATATATATATATATATATATATATACACACACACTGTAAAAATAATAAATGAGCATTTATTAAAAACAAACATGGTAATTTGAAATTGTTTAGTATACATTTACATGCTTAAATTTCGAGCATAAGGCCAAAACAAACATTAAACACAGCTTTTGGTCAGCCGTATGTGTAGCTATGGCTATAAATTAAAAGAATATGTAATCAATCAAAATTCACACCAAAAGACGTCAATGTAAATCTTTTGGTTTAACTAACTGACACATGTTTATAAGTAATCAAACTTGACTAATAAAGACAATGTACTGCAAAGTGTATAATATAAAGCTTCATATTTTTTTTTCTATAATTGGGTCACTTTTCAAAAGATTTTATTGAAAGACATAAAAGAGTAAACTTACTAGAATTGTAACCACTTAAAGTCATAAAAACTTCTCGGTCTTTTTTTTTCATGCATGTGTAGCAAAAATAAATAATCTAAATATGTCATTCAGGTTTTTCTTTCAAGCCTCTTACCTTGCCTGATTTTGGAATTGCATTTTTCATTATTCTTGCTACATTAGCAATAGGTAGAAAACGATCCTAAAAGATGAAAAATTTTTCAGTATTTTAATTCTCTTGTTAAAATGTTTAATGTAAAAAATGGAGAGAGTATGTTTTCAATTATATGAATTAAAAGACAGTTTGATATTAACAAATACATTGTTAGTTTGCTGAAAAATAAATATGGCAATAATTGGGATAAAACAGTAGCGAAAAATGTTTTCTATATAAAAAAATCACACATATTGAAAGATAATAAAAATATTAATCTGTAACTTCAAACGTTTATAAGCTAAGTTATTTGAACTAGCTCATGGTAATCAAATAATCTTGTATAGTCTTTCATAAGATGTTAAGACTGTGCAAGATGTTTTGAAGTCCCACATTGATATCAACAAAATATCTACACTATCAAATATTCAAATATCCAGTTTCTTTAATGTATCAAAAAGATCACTTATGCATTTCCTAAAGAGCAAATTCATATGAGAGTTCTGTAAAAATCACTTAAGCATAGGAAATTTGCTTTCCTTAAGAATTTCCTTAGGAACTGAAAAAATGTTGTCATATCTGACTGTAGTTTGGATATATTTATATTCTAAAGACTAAAAAAACACATTAATATATATATAAGGTATATTAAATAGAACTAATCCACACAGTGCAAATAGTTATGATTTCAGTTGAGGAGTAAAGAGTTATAATCTCTGGGTAAAGGAAAAAGTTTAATGTAAATATATATTGTACAAACCCATGGTAGAGGTATATAATGGTGGGTAAAGGAAAAAGTTTAATGTAAATATATATTATACAAACCCATGGTAGAGGTATATAATGGTCATTCTTGATATCAGTGGTTGTTAACCAGAACGGCAAAAAATTTTGTATTTATTGGTTTCCTGAATGTAGTCATCTGAACAACAGAAGTGATCTTTGAAACATCAGGTATGTCCCCTTCTAGAGCACTACTTCCTAGAATTTTGTACCACCATGAAGAAAGATTATTCCCCTTCAAACTTCCCAAATTTTATCACTTTTGAGTTTCAGATAAGAAATTAAATATCAAAATATGAGTTCTTTTGTTTTCTAATTGGGTATCTAAAAATAAACTTGACACTGGGAAAGTATTTATAAATGGCAGTGAAAGAGTAAGAAAAGTGAAATGCAAAGCAAGTCTTGATATTATAAATTATGTTTTTTTAAATATATAAGTTATTTTAAAGCTAAATCAACTTCAATCAGTAACACATTGTTACACAGAATTAAATACACAAGCTTGAATTTGAGATTCCAAAGGAAACTACTTTGACAAGCAAAATGTAAGAAATCTTTCATTGATAACAAAACTGAACTTTCTGATTTAACACCAGATACTGCCCGAGAGAAAACCAAAATATTATAAATATATCTAAAAAATAAGAAACACAATCCATTATCTAAAACTTGAAAAGTAATTACAAACAGCCTTACCTGTATGATCCGATCACTTCCAAGGTTTCTGTGATACTAGTGAGAGAGTAAAACCCTAAGTTTGAGACTTTGGTTGTGTCATCTTATTGGGATTTTGAATTCATGAGTAAATCAATGGCAGGAAATTTTACAACTGTCTGTCATGAAACTGACTGTCATTTGTGCAGAAACAAATAATTATGTTAAGTCAACACAAGGAATACACTAACACCGTACAGCTGTTTGTCAATACTTTAATTTTTATACCCTTTTACATTTTATACTTTCAAATTTGGAAAGTTATTATTATTATTACTTACTGTTAAGAAGTTTGGTTCTTGTCTTTGTACCTTATCTTATTGGTCTTTATTCCTTGTGTGAGCAACTTGCTCAAAAAAGGCATTGTATCTTCAGTTACCTTTAGAGTTCACACATTATTTTACAGTTTTTGCAAACAATATTTTGATAGTAACATGCATAATTTACTAGTGAGATTTCACTATTTTTATAATCTATAAAATTGTTCCTGCAAACCACATAGAAGACTGTACAACTGATGTTACATATATTTGTTCCAATTATAAATCCAACTAATTACAAATTGTTATTATATTGCATCGTAAATTATATCTATGATCTAATATACTTCAGTGCTATATCTGAAAATTTAGGGTTTTTTTTTAAGTTGTATGTGTAAACTAAGAGCTTTTTTTTAATCTTGAAGCTAATCTATAAAGCTCTCACTGTCAATTATGGGAACAGCTGTAGCATCTAAAGTTTACTAGCCTACTTATCCTTTTTACAAGAACTGGATGATCAGTGATATTTACTAATTAATTAGTACCTTCCCCCAAAAGTACAATAAATAGGGAGAAGTGTTGGTTTCATAACCTTTTCAATCATTGAATTAATCTAATATCATATTAATCTTCCTTTTTTCATTCAACTTGTTTTGGGTTTTTCTTTTAAGTCATTTTTTTAATTACCCTTGGTTTCATATGCTAGATCTCTTGTGAAAGTTGTCAGAGGTATATTTTTCAAAAAAACATATTTTTTGTCTAAAAAATCATTTTCCGACAAATTGCTTTAAAGATAATTTGGACATTTTCTACTTAGCAAATGAATCACTAATGTCAACTAAATACCACCAAGCTGTCACTATTATGTTTGCTTTTAAAATATGCAGTAATCCCCCCCCCCCCCCACTGATCATTTGTAACTTAAATAAACAGATACATAAATAACAAAAACATGTTTTATTATCACCAGGGAGGGTAATGATGTTTATATTTAAAACATATCATGACTGGTAAGTATAAGTAACTAAGAAGTCAGTTAGTCAACTTA